AAGCAAACACGACTTTGTTAAATGAAACTTCCCCCCTCCCCCTCGCCAGTACTTTGAGGACGACCCTTCAAGGATGATTCCTACCAGTATTATATTATAGCAGCCTTCCCACTTGCCAGAAAGATGAACTTTGGCAAGTTACTTAACCTCTCACTCATAAACCAAGGGAAATAATAGCACCTACCTCATTGCCTACTGTGAGAATATGGTGGTTAACAAAGCCTGGCACTCGCAATACTCCCAACACTCCCTAAATTGTCACCACTGTCATTACAACAGCCCCAGCTTTTCCTCTGGGACTCCCCATCTTGTCCCCCTCACCCCTGAAAGCTGGGAGAATGTCTGTGAAGAAAATTCTCTATGTTCCATCTATTAATACTTGTGGCTGGATGTATTTTATTATTAATGGATTAAGCTGTGACCTGAAACCACACTTTTCTAGATTTACTATTATTATATCGCCTAATTAAGGCACTATCATTTTTTACGTATTTATTTTTCAATACGTTTACCTTAGAAATTAGGAAAACAGAAAGGCAGAGAAAGGTTTTTACGCTTCCCATAGTTGATTGCCCGGAAATAATCTGGCAGAGGCACTAGTTGTCCACCCAGATCCACCTTCCATAGAACTAGAATAGTAGGCGGGCACATGGCTACTGACATTTCCCAGCCTAACTGGCAGTCTGGCGCGCCATGTGACTAAGTTTTTGCCAATGCAATATGCTCAGAAGACATGTGCACCGCTTTCAGGTCTAGGCCCCCAAACCTCCCCAGCTGTGCTGGCTGGGTACGGATGACAGGCCCCAGGGAGATGGCAGGCCCACAAGATGGAAATACAGTTCTGGTCTCTGAGGAACCACATGGAGGAGGGGTGCCCTGCCCACCTCCACACCCACTCCACAACTGTTACGTGAGCAAGAAATACACACCTTTTTGTCTTAACCTTCTGAAAGACCGGACTCAAGTTGTGACCACAGCCTAGCTGAGCCTCAACACCAACCATGTGTGCCACTTCGATGGATTTCCACTCAGTCCTTTCTCTACCTGTACACAGATAAGCATTCATCTATGTACCTTTGCATCTTCATTCTTACAGTATTTTCCTATTATAACTTCTTCATAATAGTTTAATGGCTGTATAGTATCTCAAAGTAGCTGATTAAACTATAATTCACTTAACATTTATATTGTTGGCATTTAATTTTATCTCTACTTTAAACAATGCTGTAATAAACATTATTGTGCAGAACCCTTATTCTATACTTTGAATCACTTTTAAAAACATCACAGAATTGACATTATTCAAAGGTTATAAACACATTTTGGAACTTTCCGAAAGACTGAATCAATTACAGTACCATCATTAATGAGTGTATTCATTTTATCAGACTTTGAAAGCAAAGGGATATAAACTTAGGTTAATTTGATTTTTAAAACTATCCCCTAGCTTTTACTTTGCATTTCTTTATACTACTGAGATTGAACACTTTTCCGTGTTTGATTCTCTCCTAAGAATTTTGTGTCCTGTCATCTACTGGAGTCTATGTCATCTAGCAATAACAAATATTATCAAGAATCAATCATCCAAAATTTCAGAAAGCATTTTTATTAAAAGAACAAATATTAAGGCACAAAAATACATCAATTTTTCAAACAAAAATCCTTCAAATAGTTATATCCCACATTCAAAGAAAACTTCTTCCAAATTACAGAATAATTTAACCTTTTTAAATAGAAAAATACAACTTCTTAAACCACTAAACTTTCTCCCCAAATAAATGAATGTTTTCCTAGTTCTAAAGACATTTCTTCATGCAGTATTGAGCTCTGGTGTTATAAAGTACACTTCCTTAAAAATCTAGTTTTGTCACTTATATACAGTTAATACATTTAGAACCTTAACCACTATGTTAAATTTCTCTCTTATAAGGCTTGGTGTTTTGTATTGCTTATTACATGCCATTGATCACACAAAGACACAAGTGCCAGAACTAGTGACTTATAAATTATTCACAGATTTATAAATCTAGCATAGCCATCTCTCAACTTTAATCATATATAATCTAGTGCAACAGACTCGAATCTCTTTTTTAAAAAAAGAAGATATAAACCAACCTTATATGTACATTTTTTACACTTTCAGTCTTGACAGTATAGTAGTGTAAACATTGTACTGTAATACAGGGGGGACAGTCAGTATTTTCTACAGGATATCAAAGAGTTAAAAAATGATTTTCTTTACAGGAAAAGTATAAGAACATCCTATAATCTCTCAGGTTTAAAAAATTTAAACATTCACCTATTTTTCCTTATTTTTGAAATAAACTAACTACCATTTAAAGCAGATATTTGAATACTAATCTAACTCAAATCATGAAAATTCCCTTTCAAGCACATTTCACACATTTAAACCTATCATGAATTTCATAACAAGAATACTTCAGCATTTTTCCTAGAAACACATGAAACTGAACCTGTATCCTCAGATCCCCTCGTTAACAGGCAGACCATCCTGATGGCATCCTAAAACAAAACTGATGTGAGCACTTCAAAGGCCTCTATGACCAGTTTCTGGAAACTTTGTGCAGAAGCAGGGACGATGAGCTGTGCACTGTCCCTGGGTGTAACTTCTCCTCGGTGTCCTTCCTGTAGCACCCCCTCCTGGGTATGTGAGGGGCTAAGAAGGTCCTCCGTAAGAATACTCGAGTTGGGTCATCAAACCTCAACGGATGGCACAATTATCACTGAAAGTGACAGACACAGCACATGCCCTTCTAGAAACATTTCTGATGAGATTACTAGGAGGGGATCCTGCTTTCTCTGGATGGAAGAAAAGTTTGCATTGCAGCCTGTAGCTGATCTACCTACATAGGCAGCATCATTTATCTTTCCAGCCGCAGAAAGACATGTTTGTATAAACGCTATTGAGGTTACGTCAGAGGCAGTTTTCCTTATCACACTTACCATCAACTCCCCACTCCCACCCCACTACATTTGTAGGTCCCAATGGCTATAAGCCTGGTATTCTGCATTTTGAAATTCAAATAGAGCCATATGATGAGCTGGGGGTCAACCTGCCTCAAAATTTGGGGGGTGGGGTATTAGGTAAAAAGATTAACAAGAAGGCAGTGGTTACCTGCAGCTCTGAAATAACGGGGCTAAAGGTCTAAGAATACACCAACACCACAATGAACTAAAGTGCTAGGAAATGTGGTGGGTGGGAGTGTGTTATTGTGGCAGAATCTGAAATAAGGAATGGAATCCACAACTGTTACATTAGACATTCTTTCCCTAGGAAGGATGTCCCAAAGCAACAGCATCTTGAAAACCATGCCTTCTCGGTAATGTTTGCCAATACTCTTCACGTTCCACATGTTCACTACTGAAAACATATTTGCCAACATCTTTCAAGAGACATTACTACCAAAACTAAATCTTCCTTACTAATCTCTCTGAAATGAGTAAACAAGAAATAAATTCAGAAGGTTGACTTTTGAAAGAAAAAGAAAATTTTCCTTTGTGGCTTCATGGTGAAAAAAATTAGAGGTTTTGTTTGTATTGGTTAATGTTTTCCTAATCAAAATTCTCTGAAGTCATTCTCAATTCATAGGTTAGAACTCCTCCAAAGAAAAGACATACAAGACTCTAACTTTAATTACTATTCTTGCTTTTCTTTTGGAGACAAGAGTCTTACTCTGTTGCCCCAGCTAGAGTGCCGTGGCGTCATAGTAGCTCACTTCAACCTCAAATTCCTGGGCTCAAGCAATTCTCTTGCCTCAGCCTCCCCAGTACAGATGCGCACTGCCATACCCAGTTAATTTTTTTTTTCTATTTATTTTGTAGAGACGGGGTCTCGCTTTTGCTCAGGCTGGTCTCAAACTCCTAAACTCAAGCAATCCTCCCGGCTGGGCCTCCCGGAGTGCTAGGATTATAGGTGTGAGCCACCACGCCAGGCCTTTAATTACTATTCTAACTATCCACTAGCCCTGCATCTTTGGTCATGAAAGCAGCAAAACATTAACATTTTCATCATACTACATTCAATTGCCTTTCAAGTTTAGAACATTCCACATTTTTAAAAAAGACATTAAATCAAAAGATTTCAAATTACACATTACAAATGTGTAATGTAACAGAATAAGGTATAAAACATGGTTGAAGGTTAAGAAATTAATTACAAGATTAACAGTGAGGTACCTTGCAATTAAACATATGTTTTTATTATGAAACGGAATATGCCAAGATGATGTAAAAGGTACAGTTCTAGTTCACCCAAGGTCTTCCAGCTTGCTAGGCAGGAAGTGATCTAGGGAGCCATGTGGCCAGGTGTCCATCACCTGCCCTGGCAGAGTCAGCAGCAGCATGTGTACACACGGCCTGAGTGAGGGAGCAATGGCAGAGCAAACCTTTGGAGGTGACCCTCAAGACTTCTCTCTGTGCACTGTGATCCCCTGAGCTCAGAGAAGACCCAACTCCATGATTTGATGTGCACGGTGATACTTACAAGCAAGGGCTTTGTGCAGACAAAAAAAAGACAAAATTAAACATATAGACATGCCTATGTTCCAATGTTAACCAAGTTTTTACTTACTATGAAATCACTTCCACGTAAAAGTCAAAGAAAATTATTATTGCATCTAGTAAACTCAAGACATGGAGACATTGATATACTACACTTCAGAAGAATCACATTATCTACCTCAAGGTGAGTGGAAAGAATAGCAGGAGTGTTTATTTAACATATTAACTGCCATGTGAGTTGTATTTAACGCTAGTTTTGAGCCTGGGGCCTCGTGAAGCGTATGTAACTCACATGTCTCTTCACTTTGGAAGCCGCCAGAACAATTTTTCAAGTTGCACATAACTCACGCACAGGAAACAATAAAAAATAACAAATTTTTCATTAAATTAGAAAGGATCGTTTTGTTTTGAAGTTTTTACTCTATTTTCATAATAAAACACCGTGGCCCCAAAGAGAAAAACTTTTTCTAGTGTGGCAGTCAACGTGTTACAAAAATTTTTTAAGAAAGGAGAGGGAACCAAAATCCACACGACTGCCACCCATCAGCCAAGAGGTGTTCGTGCAGATACCTTTATCATACTTCTCTCAGATTATTTCCAGTTCCAGGAAATTTAATGAACATTAAACTGACATTCAAGAGTCAGCTATAAAAGGGTTACGGAACCCTCCTATCACCTGAATTCATTTTAACATACAGATTTCCAAAATAATACAATAAAAACATTATGCTATATCAAAACAAAGCCCTCTTTCAGTCTTGAAGAAGGACAGTCCTTCATGGTTAACTAGGTTTCATTTACATGGGTTCCAATCACATTATCTTTTCTGAAGAGAACATTTTTTCAGCCATGTCAGATCTGGTCATGATTTCCTGAAGAAGGAAAAAAAATAGAAGATAGGTGTCAAAATGTTAATGCTGCTTCCAAAACCCTAACAAAAATGTCCTGATCTTTCAATAGTTGCAATTTAATCTTTTCAACAGCCACCATTTTGGGGAACTAAAATATATTCCATGATAGACATTGAAATACCAGATATAGAAAATAAAAACCACATAATCTGTACCCTTTAATAATGCACAATTATCTGCTTAGAAGTTCAGAAAACTTCTAACTTCCTGCTAGCTAGAAAACATGTCAAGTTCAGAATCTCCAGGGAGAGCAGGAATGGATCACAAACAGATTGCTTAGGCATAGCTCATCGAGGGATCTGCCTCACTTAACTGAATTAATGCATTTTTGAAATTATAAATGAATTATTTACTAAATAAATACCTTAAACACCCCTTTAAAAGTAATTCTACAGTACATCTTTCTGTGGAGTTATACATTTTAAAATTTAACTGTTTTGTAGTAAGGCATTCTCAAAGACTCCCATCCTGCTGCGGTCAAATCAACACACTGATGCCAATATCATTTCCCTGATCTTTCAACAAATAGATTTCTGGCTCCTCCTCTCATGTTCTACAGCCACCACATAAATTACTACTTAACTACCACAAATTTCTCTCTACTGTTCCTTTATATAAGTTAATGTTCCATGCATCCATCCTTTAATTCTTATACTTCAGACTTCTTCCTGCCTTGGGTCATGCTTCAATGTCCAGAATCCATAACTAATTTTTCCCCAAAAAACTTTCCTAAATCCATATCCTCTATTCAAATTTCCTGCTTAGTAAGTAAATGAAAATGAGATAGAAACTTTATTTAATACTCCAGTGAAACATCTACAAGTATCAGAGATTAATTTAAAGAAACTATCTTAAAATCTTCTAAACTCTTATCTATATACAAGATCTTAGCAAATCAAAATAATCCCTCCCTTCTTTCATACCAATAAGCATTGATCTTGCTCTTGTTTGAAACAAGAACTTTTCCCATAAATCCTTCAAACTTTACCCACGAATCAATTCATAGTACCTTTCTGTCTGCTCAATTTATAATCATTTTAAAAAGTAACTTTCGGAATCTCTTTCTGAAATACATCTCTATTTTGTGAAAATAGCTCCAAGGAAACAAGCAAAAATGTATTTTACCTCATCTGAATCCACTAACACTGGAAGAGCTCTGAAATAAAACGGAGGGTGGGGGAGTGACAATGTTATTAAAAGTAATGCCAGCATTCCCACAAAAACCGAATATAGGCGTGCTCTATAACCTACAAATTCTCCCCCTCGGAGACAGACAGCTGGGAGAAGGGAGCACCTAGGCTCACTGACGTGGAAAAGAATTTTCATAGTAGTAGTGTTCTCAATAACTCTAAACTCAAAATAACCCAAATGGGTAAATTGTAGTGTATTCATACAATGGAATATAATACAGAAAAGCAAATGGATAATCTATTAAGGGATAAAATTTTAAAAACTCACACAAGTAATCTACAGTTATAGATGTCAGGACAGCAGGACCTCTGGGAAAGTGAGCTGCTGATTTAGAAGGGAAATGGAGTTTTTAGGGTACTAGAAATATTCTACTTTCTGATCTGGGGCTGATTATACAAACGTGCTCATTAAAAAAATTTTACTGAGCCATATACTTAGGATGTGTGCATGTTCCAGAATGTATGTTGCTTCAAAAAATGCTCAGTTAAAAGTTAACTGAAATATTTCACAAATCTTAACTTCAAAATGAAAACAACAAAAACAGCAAGATCAGCAATCCTAAAGACTAAGATGTTGGACGAATATCAATGACTAAAAACATACAAATGAGTAATTCCAAACACAACTGACATCTAACTACTTATTTATTTTTTAATCCCCTGCTATTTTTACTTTGAATAGCTGGACAAGTATCTGAGTGGTGACCTACCATCTAATTAGAAAACCCACACATCATGTGCTTTTGTGAGAACTTAAGAGGGATGAGTAAACACATTATGAAAAGTGGTACTTATAGAATCAAGTATTTGCCTAACTGTTGTATCATTATCACCACTGCGTGGATGTCTACCAACGAAGGGTACTTAGAGAAAGAAAGAAAAAAGAGAGAAAGACACAACATAACCTTGCTCAGGAAAGATAATATAGATAAAAAGAAAAGATAAGTGTTCAGTAAGCTTAATCTAGCCTCAGTGTGCAATAGAGCTTTGAGGGAGAGAGCCTGAAGGAAAAGTCCATGTGCCAAAGTTACAACATGAAAGTCACAGAAATGCACAACTCCAGAGGATGCTATTACAGCACAATCTATGGTGAAAGCAGAAGAAAGAGAGCTGTGAGACTAGATGTGAGAAAGTCGTCAAGGCTTATTGTGGAATGATACTATCAAGGAAAATCTGGGGAAGAAGACTACATTAGGGGAAAGATGAACCTTAGAGGCCCAGAAGTAGTCTGCTAGGTGCTTGGCACCTTGGTTAGACAAAAGCACTAGCCATAACAACAATGGTTCCTACTGTGAGGTTAATGACCATTTAAACCTTATGAACACCTATTCAGGGCATTGAAGAGGGAGGTGAGCTGGTGAGCTACGCTAACCTGGCTTATCAGAGATGAGGAAATTCAGTGAATAGCATATAAATATCTCATAATACACTGTATCAGATGGTTATTCATGATCTGTTTAAATTGTCCTAAGTCTTACAAAGTTTTTGTTCCATTTTCATAGAAGTATGAAGAAGGTTTTTCTCTGTATATGAAGACTAAATACTAAATTTGCTACTTAACTTGTACATCAATTGTGGATAGCATTGTGCTAAATTTCTTATGTTAAAGTCTTCAGAAGTGAACATACGAGGGTTCCCAAGAACCTAAAATTCTGGAAACTATCTTGGATTATACAACTCTACTCATTTCATATAAATGGTTCATGAAAACATCAAATAAGACATTTTAATCTTCTATATTTTAAATAAATTTTTATAACCAGATATTTCTATTTACAGAAAGAAAGAGTACAGAATGATGACTTTCTCACATACAAAGAGAACCAGCCAGGAGCCTTATTGCTTTCCACCAAGAAGTGGTGGCACAGTAGGGGGTGAGTCTGCTTAAATGATTTCCTTCTAAAATACTTAGTTATGAGTTTCCAAATCTGGAAAATAATGGTGGCCACTTGATCTGAATCTCTCCACATATCCTTGCTCAAAAAACCATAAAATTACTAAGGACTGCAAACAAAACCACATAAGACCCATGCCTTCAGCATTACCAGAAAAACACCACAAACTTGAAATTACATGTAAGTAGAGAAATAAACATCAAATTCCAACAGTTTTCTTGCTGCCACTGCATGCTCTGGGTACAGAGTGGGGCAAGAGAGGGTTGAGAGACTGTGTGAAAAATAGTAGAGTGTAGGAGGATTCAGAAAAAGCATGGACAAAAATCAACCCCTGCAAAAAAGTCCAACACTAAATGGCAAATGACTGAAAAAAGAAAGGTTGGTGATTTGGTAGTTCACAGTATTCAATACAGGGAAGGGACTTAAAATGAGCAGGAACAAAAGTAGCAGCCTTGAACAATCACTGTTTTCAGGGGAGAATCTTATACGTAGAAGAGGAATAATCTTTGGAGATGTGGTAGTGTAACAAATGAAAAGAAGGAAGTAAAAAGGGAAAATTAAGAATCCTGCAGAAATAAAAGAAAAACAAAACAACATCGACCGTCCCTTCTCCATACCCCTTTATCTCATCAATCTCATCCAAAAAAGAAACTACAATTCATGCAAACTGATGGAAGAAGGTACTCGAACTAGGAATCCTCATCAAAAAATGCCTAGGATAGGGAAAAACAAGTAATCAATTCCATACAATGGTGGAGGAAAAAAAAAAGAAAAATGAAAATCAAAACATTTTACAGTAGAATAAAGCTATAGCTATAATACAATGCTCCAAAGTAAATAAAATCACTTAAAAAGAACATTTGGCAATATTAAAAACATTCTACAATGAGAAATTTAAAAACCAGGACAGAAGTGGATAACAACAAAGCAAAAGAAATTCAAAGAGTCTATCGAACTCAGAAACAATTAAAGAAAAGACAAAAGTTGTCCCAGTGAGGAATGTAAAAATTACAAGGTACCCAAGGGAGAATAAATTCAAATGAAAATTTGATATGTGGCAGGAAAACAACTAAGAGAACGAAAATGATATAAAGAAAGAAGTAAAAAAGATCATAACAAAGTGATTGAAATAGAAGACAGCAGGATAAAGGTAGAGAGAAGAAGTCAGATGATTCCTTCCACAAAAACATTTATAAAACCTGGACAAAAATATCAAAAATAAGTAGCTGAAGGCACTGGAAAATGATCAAGGGATATGGATCTGAGAAGCTCAACAAATCCCAAGGAGAATAAACAAAAGGAAAAACCACACTCAGGCACATCATAGACACACTGCAGAAAGCTAAATATAAAGGAAAAATCAGAAAAGCAGCAAAAGATAAATGACACAATTACATACATGAGAATAACAAGGCAATGACTGATTTTTTCTCAAGAACAATAAAAGCCATAAGATATTGGAAAGACATGTTGGAAGTGCTCATACAAAAGTCAATCAAGATTTTTATATCCAGCAAAACTATGCTTTAAAAAGGAAGGCAAAATAAATACATTTTCGTAAAAATAAAATTGAAGTAATTTGTTGCTAGCAGATCTACACTATAAGAAATACTAAAGAAAGACCTATAGGAGGAAGGTCTTAGCTCAGATATACAGAAGGAAAGAAGAAATAGTAAACACACAGGTAAATCTTCCTTTTCTGTTAAAAAAATGTATAATAGTGTATCATTAGTTTCACAATGTATAGGCAGTTCTTACTTTGCATGGACCTAATATGCATAAACTTTAGTTATCACACTTTAGTTAAATAACACTAGTCTCCCAACAAGACAGTTCAAATTCCAGTTGCTCAAAAGCACAATGACATAACACTTTACAGTCACAAAGAGAGCTAAGATAAAAAAGGTGGACAATAACAAGTGTTGGTAAGAAATCTAAAGAAATTAGAACCCTAATATTGTAAAATAGTGTAGCTGCTTTGGAAAACAGCTTGACACTTCCTCAAAATGTTAAACATAGAGTTGCAATACAGCAATTCTACTTCTAAGTATATAGCCTAGAAAAATAAAAATATATGTCTACACCACACCCCTAGAATCATCGTATTCATAGTGATGAAAACTAAACAGAAAATCTTCAAGGTAGCCAAAAAAATAAAAATAAAACTCACACAAAACAAAACTCACATAACACATGGAGGAACAAAGATAAGAACTAAAGCAGACTTCTTTTTGAAAACATGAAAGCCAGAAAACATTCAAGTGACAATCTTTGAAGTATTGAAAGAAAAAATTGTCAACCAAGAATTCTATTCCCAGGAAAAAAATGTTTTTCAAAAAAGGTGGAACCAAAGATCATAACACTCAATTCCCTTTGAATACCTGGAAAGCCTTCTCAAGAAGGACAGGTTCAAACAAGCCCAGACTCCAAAGATTAAAATAAATACTAACTCTTCAATGGCCAGACATTGGTGAACATCTACAAGCATCAAGAACACCCAGGAAAACATGATCTCACTGAACAAACTAAATAAAGTATCAGTGACTAATCCTGGAACAATGGAGATATGTGACCTTTCAGACAAAGAATTCAAAATAGCTGTCCTGAAGAAGTTCAGTGAACTTCAAGACAACACCGAGAAGGAACTGAGAAGCCTATCAGAGAAATTTAACAAAGAGATTTAAAAAGAAATTCTGGAGCTTAAGAATTCAATTGACAAACTGAGAAATGAATCAGAGAGTCTCTCAACAGCAGAAATGACCAAGCAGAAGAAAGAATGAGCTTGAAAACAGGCTATTTGAAAATATAAAGTCCAAAGAGAAAAAAAAAAAAAAAAAAAGAACAAAGCACACATTACAGAATCTGGAAAATGGCCTCAAAAAGGCAAATCTAATAGTAATTGACCTTAAAGAGGAGGCAGAGAAAGAGACTGGGGTAGAAAGTTAAAAAAAAAAAAGAAAAAGGTTTAAAAGGTCCTAAGGGTAGCAAGAAAAAAAAGAAAAAAATAACATATAAAGGAGCTCCAATATGTCTGGCAGCAGATTTCTCAGTGGAAACCTTACAGGCCAGGAGAGAGTAGCATGACATATTCAAAGTGCTAAAAGAAAAAAACCTTAACCCTAGTACATTATATTCTGCAAAAATATCCATCAAACATGAAGGAGAAATAAAGACTTCCCAGACAAACAAAGCCGAAGGATTTCATCAACACCAGACCTGTTCTACAAGAAATGCTACAAGGAGTTTTTCAATCTGATATAAAAGGCTATTAATGAACAATAAGAAATCTTCTGAAGGTATAAAATGTAGGAAAAACTCCACTAGGCATCAGACTAGGCAAAGAATTTATGACTAAGACCCCAAAGGTAATTACAGCAACAACAAAAATAAATAAATGGGACTTGATTAAATTAAAAGGCTTCTGCATAGCAAAGGAAAATAATCAACAGTAAAAAGTCAACCTAAACAATGGGAGAAAATATTTGTAAACTATGCATCCAGTAAAGCGCTTATATCCAGAATCTACAAAGAACTCAAACAAATCAGTGCGACAAAAAACCAACAATCCCATTAAAAAGTGGGCAAAAGACATGAGAAGTTTTCCAAAAGAAGATAGACAAATGATCAACATATGAAAAAGTGCTCAACATTACTAATCATCAGGGAAATGCAAATTAAAACTACAATGAGATGTCACCTTACCCCTGTCAGAATGTCCTTTATTAAAAAGTCAAAAAGCAATGGATGCTGGCAAGGATGCAGAGAGAAAGGAACACTCATACACTGTTGGTGGGATTGCAGATTAGCACAACCTTTAAGAAAAACAGTATGGAGATTCCCAAAGAAATAGAGGTAGACCTACTATTCGACCCAGCAATCTCACTACTGGGTACCTACCCAAAGGAAAAGAAGTCATTTTATTAAAAAGACCCCTGCATTCAAATGTTTATCACAGTACAATTCACAATGACAAAGATGTGGAATCCACTTAAGTGTTCTCCAATTTATGAGTGGATAAAGAAAATGTGGTATATGTATGCCATGGAGTACTACTCAGCCATAAAAAGGAATGAAATAACGTCATTTGAAGCTACTCGGATGGAACTGGAGACCATTATCCTAAGTGAAATATCTCAGGAATGGAAAAACAAATACCACATGTGCTCTCTAATAACTGGGGGGCTAATTGATGGGCATACACAAGCACAAAGAAATGCAAAGGTCATTGGAAATTAGGAAAGGGAGAGGGAGAGAGGAGGGGAAAGGTAAAAACCTACCTATTCAGGTGATGGCACACTAAAAGCCCCAACTTAAGCATTATAAAAGGTACCCATGTAACAATAACATTTGTACTCCCTTAATATTTTGAAATTAAAAAAAAAGACAAATCTCTCATGTTTTCACTTATAAGTGGGAGCTAAATATGAAAAACAGTTAATCTCATGGGGACAGAGAGTAGAGTGATGGTTACAACAGACTGGGAAGGGTAGCAGGGAGGGGTAGATAAAGTGGGGATGGTTAACAGATGCAAAAATATAGTTAGAATAATATTTGATAATGCAATAAACTGACTATAATCAACAATAAGTTAGAGTATACTTTAAAACAACTAAAAGAATGAAATTGGAATGTTCCTAACACAAAGAAATGATAAATGCCTGAGGTAATGGATACCCCAATTATCCTGATTTGATTAATTCATATTGATGTCTGTATCAAAATATCACATGTACCCTATATACAACTATTATGTACCCATAATTAAAAATAAAAAAAAAATTTTTAAACAAAAGCTTCCCCTACAATACCCATGTACTGTGGTTACATGTGTTCTAAAAAAAAAGTTTTACATGTGTTTGAAGTTCTTCATAATAGAAAACTAAAACAAAATAAAATGGTCCTGATAACTACAGATCAGGAAAGGCTAGAGTTGGTTATAGGCGACTAGTATCAAAACAGTTGTTGTACAGTGAAAAAGGAAGGAGAAAGAGAGTCTAAGCCAGGACTTTGTTTTTGTCTGTTGGTAGTTCCATAGAAGTTAGTCAGTCATTCACTGGTGATGGAGGCCTACAAAAACATGGAAGTGTGGCTGGACGCGGTGGCTCACGCCTGTAATCCTAGCACTCTGGGAGGCCGAGGTGGGCGGATTGTTTGAGCTCAGGAGTTCGAGACCAGCCTGAGCAAGAGCGAGACCCCCGTCTCTACCAAAAAAATAGAAAGAAATTAATTGGACAGCTAAAAATATATAGAAAAAATTAGCCGGGCATGGTGGCGCATGCCTATAGTCCCAGCTACTCGGGAGGCTGAGCCAGAAGGATTGCTTGAGCCCAGGAGTTTGAGGTTGCTGTGAGCTAGGCTGACGCCACGGCACTCACTCTAGCCCGGGCAACAAAGCGAGACTCTGTCTCAAAACAAACAAACAAACAAACAAACAAACAAAAAAAAAACATGGAAGTGTGAGGTTTGAAAAGCACATGACAAAACTATCCTTTTAAAACTATAGCCTAAAATTTAGACTTAAACTTTAACAGAGGACACTTACACATCTGTGAATGAAGAGGGAATATTTTCTTCCACCCACTTCAAATCTTCATCCTGTAGACACAAATGTTTATATTTAGTATTTGCTTAGTATCACCTGAAAGCAGAATGTTTCAATAGAATGTATGTAAAATTTAAGTATTTAAATTTAAATACGTGACATTCTTTTAGTTTCTACATATATCCTAAGAAGCTGGCACTTATGCCACACGGAGATTATGCCAACGTTTTTTTAAACAGGCAAACAGAAATTGGATTTCAGACTTTTGCACTTTCTGTTGGTTTTAGTTAGATCCATAGGTGTTATTTTTTGCCCTGAGAAACCACAGTAACAACACAAAGAGTTGATTTATACAACAGAAAACAGCAAGAATATTAATTTGATTTTTTTTACTTTCCCCTAATTTGTTCAAGTTTTTATATCATGAGTTTATAACTTTTCAACAGAAACAGATGATGGTACAAATACTCTAACTTTAGAAAAGCCTATTTATTTATATCACTCGTATTTACACTTATCTTCCTTTAGCAGACAAGAAAAGGGAAGTGGACCAGTTGGGGTATCTATCTACAATCTTATCTATTTCTAACAGAAAACCTGATAACAGTTGTCTCAGTGGGAGAAAGAAAAATAAAAGGTAGAGTGATATTTTGGTTTATAATGTAAAATAAATAAAAAATTTTCTTTGTTGTCTACCTGGCTAAATGGAATGGTTTCTGGTTCTAGTATTAATTACATTTTGCTTATCTAGAGAGAAACAAAGCAACTGAGTCAGTGTTAATATGAACCCAATTCTCTGAGTGGGTCTGAGGTGGAAGTAAATCAATGAGAGATAAGATTTCCAATTTCTGATCAAGAGCTGATTGCATTTACTTTAAAGACATGAAAAAGTATTCCCCTGACATGCTTGTAAATACTGAGCTTTAAAATAAACTGAGCTACATCTGTAAAATAAGAGGAAAATACCTAACAAGCTGAAAGTGTAATAGCTCTAACACCAGATAATTAAATTGTTATAATTTTTTTAAAGTTTAGTTAAATTACCATAAAAATACTCAAAGAACACATTTTAAAGAATTATTACATTACCAAAAATAAAAATTAGACAATTTACCCAATCCAACAGATAAAAATGTTCTCATATACCATCTGTCCTGGTAGCACTTACATATGCATACCTAAATTTTTACATAGTATTTAATATAATCATAGCATATATAATTATAGGAAAGCAAAGTATAAAACTGTATGATAGACATTTCTATTTTCTTCATAATTATCACTTTTATACATAAATAATATGCATAAAATATTTTTAAACTCATCTCTGCCCAGTATTTCATCACTTTATTCAAGATTCCATGATTCAAAAAAGTATCTGTTAATTTTGATAACTGCATAGGTAACACATAAAGTCCTCTTCCCAACAGATATTTAAAATCGCTTCAAGGGTTGGGTGCAGTGGCTCACACCTGCCATCCCAGCACTTTGGGAGGCTGAGGCAGGAGGATCACTTGAGCCCAGGAGTTAGAAACCAGCCTGGGCAAAACAGTGAGACCTCATCTCTATAAAAAATAAGAAAAATTAGATGTGCATGCTGACTCGTGCCTGTAGTCCCAGCTACTCAGGAGGCTGAGGCAGGAGGATGGCTTGAACCCAGGAGTTGGAGGCTGCAGTGAGCGATGATCGTGCCACTGCACTCCAGCCTGGGTGACAGAGTAAGACCCTGTCTCTAAAAAAAAATAAAATAGAATAAAATGTTTTCAAAATCACTTTAATATGCTGAAAAGTTAACACAAGCTTTTATTATAACAAACCTTCTCAATCTTTAATGAGCTTATGAATCACCTACAGAATCTTTCAAAGCAGACTCAGATGCAGGCCGAGGTTCTCCATTTCTAACAAGTCCCTGGAAGACATTCACACTGCTAGTCTAAGATCAGCAGTTAAGTGAGAATCTATAACAAAGATACTACAGTAATGGGACTTAACTACTGTCACTACTCAGTAACAGTTATTTTTATGACAAAAATACCTTAGTTAAAAACTGTCCTCCTGACAGTCAATGAATATGACACTCATATAGATTTCTAAAGTATTAAAGACTAAGATTCTACTAAATACACACTATACTCACAAAGTTATCAGAAGTAGGTTTAGCTGTTCCATTGGAAACCGATTTTGAGACTCTTAATTTTATTCCTTCAGCTATAATGAGAAACATTAGACATTCATATATATATAAAATTATAAAATAATATTTCCCTTTAGAAATTTAATAACCACATTTAATAACCCAATAAGAAAAATATTATATTCTTTATTTCTAAGGAAGAGTTAATAGTAGAAACTTCGGGCAGGGTGTGGCTCTACCATTTGGAAACGTAGGAATAAGGTATGGAAAATGTTAACAGATTTTGACAGCTGTTTGTCAGAACAACCAGGTTTTCAAGTTGCCAGTTCGAATGCTAGTTTTAGGGGAGTTTGAACAAACATACACACATACATATTTCTTTAGTTTCAAAACATTTTAAAGTTTAAAAATCTTCAGGATTCATAATATCATCCTCAAGAATAAAACATATCTTTGGGTATGCTTTTACTTCCTTGATGTATAAATTGTTGAAATGTGTTTATGGTATAAATAAGATAAGGAAGAAAAACATTTTCTTCATATTCGACCCAGGTTCTTCTGTATGTTGGCAGCTTCAGTGAAGCAAAGGTTAAGAGCTTGCGTTCTGGAACGGTAGTGCCTCACTTGGAATCTTGGGCAAAGTGATTAACTTTCCACTTAGTGTTTCTAACTATAAAATGGGGATAATAATAGTGTATATATCATAGAGTTCTGGTGAGCATTAAACAAGTTAGCACACATAAAGTGCCTGACACACAATTATGCCCAGGATGTCGTCACTTTTGTTATTACACTAATTTATAAATACTGCTTCTCCATAATCTAGGATAATTACAGCGTAAGTTGATATAGTAATAAACCAAAATGAGGTTGCTCAATCTAAAAATGTTTCTATGAGGCATTTAAAATCCCAACATTTCTCTTAGAGAGACAATACACTGATTTTTAAAAATAATACTTATACATAAGTATATACAAATTTTAAGTGACAAATATATACATTTGTGTAACTACCACCCCAATCAAAACAGTTAACATTTCCATCATCACAGAAGGTTCTTTAAATTCCTTTTCCAGTCAATCCCAAACCTACCAGAAGCCACCACTGTTCTGATTTAGATAATCATTATAGTTTGCTTTGCCTGTTCTAGAACTTCATTTATAGAACCATAATATATAGATTCCATATACTTTTGGAATGCAACATAAAATTTTTGAGATTTATTTGTGTTGTAGAGTCTTGGTTACTATGTATTACTGAAAAGTATTTTGGTAAATAGCTATACCACAATTTATCTTTTCACCTGTTGGTGGACATGTCTATTACTCCCAGTTTTGGACTATTAAGAATAAAGCTGCTATAAACATTAGGTCTGTGGACATCTGCTTCATTTCTTCAGGGTAAAAATCCTGGAGTGGGATGGTTGGATTGTATGGTAGGTGTACATTTAGCTTTTTAAGAAACTGTCAAACTGTTTTCTAAAGAGGTCTTACTACTTTACATTCCTTCCAGTTGTGTATGAAGAGACCCAGCTGTTTCACATCCTATCCAACATTTCATGCTATCAGTCTTTTAAATTTTAACCCTTCTAGCGCATGTGTGGTGGTGATCTCATTATGGTCTTAATTTGCGTTTCCTTCATGACCAGTTACATTGAGCACGTTTTAATATGCTTACAGGCCATCCCTATGCTTTCTTTGGTGAAGTGTCTATAAAGTCTTCTGTTCATTTTTTTACAATGTGGGTTATCTTTTATTGACTTATAGGAATTCCATTCACATTCTGGACCTAAGTCCTTTGTCAGGTATGTCTGTTGAGAATATTTTATCTGATGCTGTGGCTAGCCTTTTTATTTTCTTAAATTTCTCTTCATCAGTATAGATTTAATTTTGATGAAATCTACTGATTTTTTAATTTAATGGTTACTGCATTTTGTGTCCAACCTAAGAAATTACTCATCCAAAGTCAAGAAAATATTTTCCCATTTTCTTCTAGAAAAAGTACAGTTTAAGCTTGTACATGTAGGTCTGTGATCCATCTTGAATTAATTATTGTGAGATGTGTAGGAGTCCAGGTGACTTTTTTTTCTACGTGTTTACCCAGTTGTTCCAGCATCATTTGCTGAAAACTATCTTTTCTTCATATAAGGTCTTGGTGCCTCTGTCAAAAATTGACTGACCATGTATGTGCGGGTTTATTTCTGGACTCTATTTTGCTACATTGATGTTATTTCTCTAACCTTATGCCGATACCACACTGTCTTGACTGCTGTAACTTAAAATCATTATGCCTTGAAATCAGTGTAAATCCACTAATTTTATTTTATTGAGATATAATTCACATATCACAAAACAAATCCTTTTCAAGTGTACAATTCAGTAGATTTTAGGATATTCACAGAGTTGGACAATCATCATCAGTATCTAATTTCAGAAAATTTTTATCACCCCACAAGGAAACCTCATACCTACTAGCAGTCATTTCCTACTCTCCCCTTTCTCTAGCTTCTGACAACCACTCATCTACTTTCTGTCTCTATGAACTTGTCTATGCTGGACTGTTCATATAAACGAAATCATACAATATGTGATTGTTTCTCATTGGCTTCGTCCACTCACCATAATGTTGCCATGGTTCATCTGTGTTGTAACTACAAGAATGTTTAGGCTCTTTTAGGTCTTTTGCTTTTCCGTATACATTTCAGAAACAACATAACCATTGTATTTTCTTTTTGGGTATGAGTTATGAATGGGATTGCATCGAATCTACTTATCAGTTTGGGGAGCTGATATATTAACAATATTGAAAGTTTTAATACATAAATATGTTATCTCTCTATATTTACTTATTCTAAAATTTTTCTTTGCATGGTTTTGTAATCTTCATTGCAGAAGATTTGTTCATTAAATTTATTCCTATTTTATTGAAAGTATGGCAAACATTTTAAATTTCATTTTTCAATAATTTACAGTTAACATATAAAAAACCAATTTCTATATATTAGACCTATATCCTATGACTTTTTTATAGTCACTTATTAGTCATACTATACTTTTCCTTTTTTTTTTTTTGTAGACTCCTTAGGATTTTCTATACATAATTTTGTTGTCTGCAAATAAAAACAGTTTTACTTCTTCCTTTCCATACTTTCTGGCTTTCACAGTCTTTGGGGTTTTGCTTGTTTGTTTTGCCTCCCTGAACTGGCTAGGGCCTCTCATACAATGCTGAATCAAAGCAGTGGGTAGATGTCCTTCCACTTTGTCCATAATCTTGGGAAGAAATCATTCGATATTTCACCATTAAGTGGGATTTTAGCTGTAGAGTTTTTTAATACCACTGTAGAATTAGTTGGCTGGGTTTTTTTTTAAATTTGAATCTACTGAGATACCTATCTCATTTTTCTTCTTTATTCTTTTAATATGATGAATTACACTGAGTGATTTTCAAAATGTTAAAACAGCCTTGCAACCCTGGGATAAACTCTACTTGATTATGATTGTTTTTCCATATTTTGCTAGATTTTATTCACTAATATATTTTTAAAGGATTTTTCTGTCTCCACTCATTAAAGATAAATTGGTCTGTAATTTTTTCTTTAATGTGTCTGTTAGGTTTTGGCATTTAAGTTGTGCTGGCCTTATAAATATGACTTGGGAAGCATTCCCACCTCCTCTAAATTCTAAAGGTTTTATGTAAAATTAGAATATTTATTTCTTAAATATTTGAAAGAATTCATTACTGAAGCCATTTGGGCCTGGTACTTTGGGAAGATTTTAAATTACAAACCCAATTTCTTTAATAGATAATTAAGCTACTCAGACTTATTGGCCTAGTGTTACACTTAAGATTAGGGTAGTATTCTTAGGTATATTTTTCAAGGAATTTGTCCACTTTATCCATATTGCCCAATTTACTACCAAAAAGTTGTTCATAATATTCCTTTACCTTTTTTTTAATGTAGTGATGTCCTATTATTTCCAACATTAGAAATTTGCCTTACTATATTACAGCTGACCCTTGAATAACACGGGTTTGAATTGTTATGGTCCATTTATATGCACATTTTTTTCAATAAAAGTTATACCGAGTATGCCCGCCTCTCCCGCCTCCCCTTCCACTTTCTCCACTTCTCCCTCTGCCACCTCTGAGACAGTAAGACTAACCCCTCCCTCTACCTCCTCCTCAGCCTACTCAACGTAAAGATGACGAGGATGAAGACCTTTATGATGATCCACTTCCACTTAATGAACAGTAAGTATATTTTCTTTTCCTTGGGATTTTCTTCCTAGCATTTTTTCTCGAGCTTATATTACTGTAAGAACACAGTACATAATACATATATCATACAAAATATATATTCACCCCAACCCCGTGTTATTCCAGGGTCAAATGTCATTTGTCTTTATTTCTAGTTTAGACTAGCAAATCCATTTTTACTAACCTTTTCAAAGTAATTACTTTGAGCTTGGATGATTTTCTCTATTTTCCTGTTTTCTGTTTCATTGATGGAGGTGCTTAACATTATAATTTCTTTCCTTTTAATTACTCTAGATTTAATTTGTCCTGCTTTTTCTAGCTCTTAAAGTTGATGCATAGATCACTGATTTACATGTTTCTTTCTTCTTTCTTTCTTTTTTTTCCTTGGTAATACAGACATTTAAAGCTCTAAATTTTCCCCTAAGGACTGCTTCAGCACCACAAAATTTGAAACATTATGTTTTTATCATTTAGTATAAAATGCTTTCTAATATCCTTTGTAATTTCTTCAATCCATGAGTTATTTAGAAAAGTATTGCTGACTTGCAAATTTTTGATCATTTTAGAGATACCCATTGTTATTACGGCCTAACTTAATTCCACTGTGATCACAGAACATACTCTATTATACTGTTACAACCTTTCAAAATACATGGAGACATTTTTATGGCCATACATATGGCGTATCTTGTTCAATGTGAATTTGAACAGGTCAACTAGGTTGACAGTTTTGTTCAACTCTTGTATATCATTACTGATATGTCTAACTTTATTTATCACTGAAAAAGGAGTGTTAAAATAGTGACCTATGACTGTGGATTTGTCTGTATCTCTTTAGAGCTTTAAAATACATGAAGTGAAATTTGACAGAACTGTTATTAGATAAATACACATTAAGGGTCATTATGGCTTCTTGATACATTCACCCTCTGATCACTAAGAAATGAATCTTTTTAAATCACTAGTACTTTTTTTTTTGAATCCTGTTGCCTATGGATGTAGTGCTCTGTCTTGAAGTTTATGTTGTCAGGTATTAACATAGCCACACTAGCTTTCTTATGTTAGTGTTTTCATGGTATGTCTTTTCTCATCCTTTACTTCTAATCTATGTGCCATTTTTAAAGCATCTCTTGTAGACATTCTGTAGTTGAGTTTCACTCTTTTTTAATAGTCTGACAATATGCTTATTAACTTGAATATTCAGTCAACTTGCATTTAATATAATTATTAAAATAGTTAGGTTTAAGTCTAGCATATTGCTATTTTTTTTTTTTTTTTGAGACAGAGTCTCACTGTGTTGCCTAGGCTAGAGTGCCGTGGCGTCATTCTAGCTCACAGCAACCTCAAACTCCTGGGCTCAAGCGATCCTCCTGCCTCAGCCTCCTGAGTAGCTGGGACTACAGGCATGTGCCACCATGCCCGGCTAATTTTTTCTATATATTTTTAGTTGTCCAATTAATTTCTTTCTGTTTTTAGTAGAGACGGGGTCTCGCTCTTGCTCAGGCTGGTTTCGAACTCCTGAGCTCAAACAATCCGCCCGCCTTGGCCTCCCAGAGACCTAGGATTACAGGCGTGAGCCACTGCGCCCGGCCTGCTATTTGTTTTATATTGGTTTCCTCTGTCGTTCCTCTCCTCTCTTTTTTTGGATTAACAGAATATGTTTTAATATTCCATTCTATCTTCTCTATTAGCTTTTTAGCTATTATACATCTCTTTATATTTTTTAATTGCATGCTCCAAGGATTCCAATATGTTTGTTAACTGATCTTAATCTACTCTGAATATAATGTAAGAACTGTAATATAGTATTGACTTCATTTCACCCTCTCCTGTCCTTTCTGCTATAATTATGTATTTTATCTCCATATATTTTATACATCCCACAATACATCTTTACTATTTTGGCAATGAAATATCAACTGATGTTTAAAAGAGTCAAAAAAAAAGATAAAATAGTCTTTTATATTTACCCATGTATGTACCATTTTCAGTGCTCTTCCTTCAGCTTCCTTTATAGCTGAATTTCAAACTGATAGCATTTCTCTTTAGTCTAAAGAATTTCTGTTAGCATTTTCCTAGTCCAGGTCTGCTAATGACCAATCCTCGGAGTTTTCATCTACCTAAAAATCTCTTTATTTCACCTTCATTTTTGAGAAATATTTTTGCTGGACACAGAAGTCCAGGTTGACAAGTTTTTTTTATTTCAATACTTTAAAAATGTCATTACATTATCTTCAGAACTCCACTGCTTCTGAAAGTCTGCTGTCATTGGTCTCCTAAGTCTAATGTATCTTCTTTCTCTGGCTTCTTTTAAAAATCTTTCTTTGTCTTTGGGTTTTAGGAGCTTGACTATGAAGTCTAAGTGTGCTTTGCTTTGTATTTCTGTTTTGGATTCACTGAGATTCTTTGATCTGTGGGTTGGTGTTCTTGATTGATTTTGGAAATTGTTTAGACAATATTTTTGCAAATATTTTCTTACTTCCCATTCCCTCTTCTTCTGGAGCTCAATTATGCATATATTAGATTGTTTAATATTATCCCACAGGTAACTGAAGTTATATTTACTTTGTTTCCAATCTTTTATTTCTAGCTTTCAGTTTGTAAAACTTCTTTTTGATTTGTCTCCAAATACTCACTTTTATTATGTTGTATCCAATCTACTTATCTACTATTAATCTGATCCAATGAATTTATTTCACATATTCTGTTTTTCAGTTTCTGTATTTCTATACATTTTTTAATAGTTTCCATATCTCTCCTGAAATTTTCCTTATCTTTACCAATCTTTTCCTGGAGATTCTTTAACATATTAATAATCATTATTTTTAAAATCATTTTTACTTGTTATAACATTTGGGTCACCTCTAGATTTCTACTGACTGATTTTTCCATTAACTATGGCTCATAGTTGCCAGTTTCTTTCTATGTCTAGTCATTTATTATTGTGTAATGGACGATGAAGATAGTATCACATAGACTCTGGATTCTCTTCCTCTGAGGAGAACTACATTTTGTTCTGATAGGCATTTAAATTATGGCTGGATCACTTTGATCTTGCAGAGGCTTGCTTTTAGATTTTATTAGAGTGCCTTTGTTTCAGCTTAGCTTTCATTCTACGATGAATCCCAGTGGTCCTAGAATGTGGTCTTCGCTTCTAAGAAGTAGCCCTTCTGGAGTTTCCATGGAAAGCCCAAGATGTTTACCTATGCTCTTTTAACTTGCTGAGACTTGAATTTCAAACTCTACATAGGCAGCTGCTAAATCGTTGTCCTGCTTTTTAGCCTAATGACTACTGTTTTCCCCTTGGCTTCTTGGAAATCTCACTTTGGACATGTCCAGCTCAGACATCAGCTAAGATGTGAGAGACTTTATATATATTTTGGAGTTTCCCTTTTGTGACTCTCTCCTTCCTGAATTTTCCCCCTCCATTTCCAGGCATTCCTGCAGCCCCGAACTCTACCCTCTGACTCCTTACCTCGGCAAAGCTGCACTATCTCGAGTCCCAGCCACTGCACTGTCATGTCGACTGAGAATGCACTCAGGCCAAAGGCTCTGTAAGCACGGAACTTAAGACAGGCGTAGTTCCCTTCTTTCAACTGTCAAATACTCTCCAGTTTCTGCCTACTTTTTTGTTGTTGCTCTCCAGTGTTTTCACATAGTTTTCTTTTTTCCAATATGCTGTCCAGTGTTTATACTGGCTATTAGCAGGAAGATCAGTCCAATACAACTGACCCCATCATTACTGGAAGCCAGAACCTCACAACATTGAATTTTAAAATCTTAGCTGTGAATAAGTTTTTCAGGTTTCTTTTCTTAATAGAAGAGTCAGAAAAAAACATGAAAAGAATTAGTTGTAGGTGCGAGTAAGATGAGAAGAGGTAAAAGGAGGTGGGGACTCTGAAGACACATTGATTATGTTGCAATTTTTGCTGACTGAGTAGACTATAAAACTTTCACAGTATTTTACATAATTAGAGAACCAAAAAAAATTGTGAAAAAGAATGTTACTTACTAATGAGAGAAACCAAAATAAGAGAAGGCAAAATGAAACAAAGATAAAATTATCCTCAACATCTTACTTATTGATGTTGCCATAACAAATGCTTAATTAGGATATTATGATAAAATTAGTAAAATGATAAAATGTTATGTAGAAATTAATAAAAAGAATGAAAATAGCACTAAAACCATAATTAGAAATGCTCTGGGCATAACCAGAAATTATTGGCATGTATACTTTTAAAAAAGCAAGAAGAGGCAACTCAAAGAAACTAAGTCATCATCATTAAGAAGATAATTATTATTTAGGAGCTAAGGACAGTGTATACCAAAACATTCCTGTGAAAAACAGTGCACCTACTTTAATACTTTAAGAACAAATGAGTAGCAAAAGCTCAAATAAGTAACAGAAGTTCAAACTACATTAAGAGTCCTGAAAATTTCATCATTTACTTTTCTTTTTATTACTGTCTATTATAATAGAGGTTGCTGAAGATAAAGTTTTGAAAATATTTTATAGAAAAAAACAATGTATATAACCTTGTATCACAGCTAAAAGTACAATATGTCTGTTACAATATGTGCAACTGCCACTTAAAAAGAAAATATATTACTCACTTAAATTTTCAGATGTTACCATGAATTCTTCAATTTCATCATCAGAATCATCTATTAAGGGCATGAAGGCATATCTATATCAAAAACAAGGAGTAGTTTTACTAGCATGCTTAAAGTTATTCAATTTTCAGCTTACTTCCTGAATTTGACATGGCCTTTTACCATGTCAGTCCTGCCCTTCCTTTCCAGCTTTATTTCCCTCCAACATAAGTATGCAGTATTAACCAATCTGTATGCCTTGCTGACTTCCAAAGTATACCGTCTTTCCCACCACGCCAGAAAATGTACATTCACATTCTTTCCCAGCTCAGTGTTTCACTGTCCTACTCCTTTCCTCAAGGTATAACATAAACGCTGCCGTTTCACGTAGGCCTCCTCATCCCTCCTCCATCTTCCCGTGGGCGAGTTTATACACCTCTTTTTTCACTGTCTTGCATCTGTTCTACTTGTCTCCCTACTCGACTGTATGCTTCTTAAAAGCAAGGACTACGTCCCCACAGTTGCCATCAATGTGTTTTTGACACTATAGAAGGTGAATTAACAAATGCTTGCCACCTTGAATTTTCCTAGGTTACGTGCCTCTGATTATTTGCTGACGGCCTCCACAAAAACATTATTACAATAAGGATAAGTGAAAAGAGGAAGCTCCAAAATGCATCTTCAACCCAGCGTTCCATCCAATCCTAAAATAAGGACGATTCAAACACAAAAAGTTAATTTTCTGATATATGTACAGGTTTCCCATTCAAATAGTGTACAATGACAAGTACTAATGAAATTTTTCCAACGGATAAGTCTTCCAAATAAACAAGTATATATTTTTTCAAGAAACCTATATTGTTCAAAATGTTTCTAAAGGGCTGTTTAACGTTATAGACATTTCGCTTCCTAAAATGTTAGGGTTAACAGAAAGATTAACAAAACAAAAAATCCAAAACATATACTTAGAACTTGAAGTGGAAAAAAACTTCAAGGTAAGGAAAGGAGAAAAAACAAATTTCAGAAGGTTCAGCCTCTTCTCATTAAATTACCTCTAAGGCAACAGAAACTCAGGATCTTCAAAGGGCTCTTTGTGATCATTTATATAGAATTAAAGACTATCTCCAAACCTCAAAAAAAAAAAAAAAAACCCCAAAAGAAGGCCTTTTATATTCTAAGTCTACGAAATATACCTTCTTTCAACTAGAAGACCCACGGAGAACATCTGAATGTCTGTACTGAGGATACCATCCTAGGATGCCACACTTAGGGTTTCCAGTTCCATTTAGATACAAAACCACTCAATTTCAAGATGTGCAGGAAAAAAAAAAAAAGACTTCCTGTTACTTTAAACTATACAGGAAGAAAATTCTTTCTCAAAATATATAAAAAGAAGTTGAGAAAAGGGCAGAATAGGAAAAGGAGATGTAGGAGGAATTTTTTCAAATTCATTTCAAGGAGGCAAACATTTTTATAATTCTATAAAAAAATAGTTCAAAGTAAATAGAAAATCTCCACTAAAATTACTTCTATTTATAAGCATAAACTAAATTCTTCAAAATTCCACAAAATAAAATACTATAATTAAAAATGACAACTGTTTAAATAGGAAGATTATACTTACTGATTGGCATTTTGCAATTCTAAATGTCTTAGTTGTCCATACCATAAACACTACAGAAGCTGAAACACACATACAAAGTCACCTTTGAAGGAATATACAATACTAAGATAATTTATTATAATATGAAAAATTAAATAGCTTACCCAGCACAGCAAAGATCAGAGTATTTGTAAAGTGCCTGTATAATGAAAATTTCACTGTGTTCTTTCTTAGTCTTAGAGTCTTCATGGTTTGTGCCAAACTTATAAAAATGTGAAAAGAATTAAGGAAAAACATTTCCAATAGTAATAAATACATTTAAAAAAGAATCTTCTACATTTTTAAAGTCAGTACTGCTAAATACAGTTCCTAAAATTTGAAGCTGATAAATACACAGAAAATGTTATCTTAGCCCATACTGTATAATCTGATACTGACTTTAGCACAGATTTTTGTCTTATAAGTTACCACTGTCTAAACTATATAAACAAACTTAAAGGAAAAAAACACAAACAAGAAGACCTAAGACGTGCTCCTCCAATACCACACGGCTGCAACACAGGATACAGCAGCGCACACACCAAAATCTGAGTCCCCCGCCCCCCGTCCCCGACCAGACACTCTTGACAGATCACATTATGACATGCCATTTGGCTTGGGCTCTTTCTGGCTGTTTCTTTCTTATTTTATTCATTTTAGTCTATTCTCATTTTATGCTCTGATCATAATTAAGAACTTAGGTCATCTATCAATTACATTTTATAAATTAAAAAACTGAAATATGTCAAATAAATCTGGACTCAGGTAAGGAGAGACTTTATGTGAAAGATTACTACAATGGGGGAGGACTACTGCAATAGAGAGAATACTACAACTATAAGATCTGCAAGAGTCTCAAAGGTCAGGCAAAAAAAAGCTTTTCTTTTATAGAGAGGAGTAGGCAAGGCTAGAAAGAAGCAGGTGTGGGGAGTGGGTGGCGTGACCAGACACACTGATCAGGCAGACTCTCAGGAGGGGCCCTTAACGAAGGCTCTGTGCTGGCTCAGGCTGACGGTGGGTCAGAATTTAGGGCCTGGGGCAAGGAGAGAGAATGCTGAAAGTCTGGTCCAATAAGTATTTTGTCCAGATTGATCAGTGAGTATAAAGGGTTCAGCTAATATTCATGAGGCAAAGAATGGGAAATTGGAGGGTCTGTGCCTGGCCTTGTCATAGGTAAACAAGGGGTCCTCCAGTCTTACCTTAGTCCTATGGGAAAGGGGTTGTTTGCAGTAAGCCTTTTCCTGCCACACAAATGATGGGGGGTTTTCTTAACTTTGGCTGTTTTCCAGGAGCATGGGGCTCAGGTAAAGTTCAACATTGTCAAGTATGAAGAAACAAAAAGGGACTTTTCCACTGACTCCTCAACAGAGAAGCTAGAATTCAAGACAGATTGCTCTGCTCTTAAATGAGAATTCCTTCCTCTGGAGCAGACCAACAAGCTTTGCTTATGAACCAAACACTGAAAATAACAGAGTTGAACAAAACAATGGAAGTGGCAAGTTTTTAAAATCCTAAATACATCATTAATCAGAAACTTCACTTCAGTACTAAAGCTACTTTATCAATACTGCTTTTCCATCTTTGTAAATGACCAGTAAGTTATAAAAGAAAATCAATTTTTAAGGTAACACAACCTCACCAATTAGGGCTACTATCAGAACTTTAAAAATGCAAATACACTTTATTCCTGAAACATATCAAGACCAATACTTTTTAAAATTCTTCACTAAAACTCGTTTTCTAGGTTAAAAATCCTGGTATTGTTTAATAATTCAAAAATGTTTTTTAAAAGCCAAGGAATAAAAAGATCGAAAGAAAATTCGAAATGCCTAAGTCTCCACTTACCAAGACACTGTTAAATTTAGGTAAAGTTAAAATCACTCCTCCTGTGAAAGGAAGCTAGTAAGAAAGCAAACAGGCCTCATCATCCTGCAGTGAGAATCACATGAGCATGCTGCTGCGGCAGGAAAAGGATATCCACCAGCACAAGCCAGAGTCAAGGAGAGACAGAGGGAGGCTGGCCAGAAGAACAAGATCAGAATCATTCGCCTGCAGCAAAACAGCAAAGAAATAAAATAAAATAAACAAGCAAGCAGAAAAAAGGAGGAAGGGGCTACATGAGAAAGGCTATGGCTTTTGAATGTGTCATGTCAGGCTGCTTGTTTTCTGTTACTTCAGAATTAGATTCTTAGAGGATTAGGTATACAAAGTTCACCAAAATCAAAGGATGCAGGGTCATCATCCAAAGCACTCAATTTTACATGTATCTAGTTCTACTTTTGCTTGTCATTTGTAATCATTTAGGAAATCCACTTCTCATACAGAGAAAGCAGACTTGGCATTTTAGTAATGAAAATTACCAAACAGCAATCTGAAAGCAAACTTCCCAAATTTAGGTTCAAGCAGAAACAGATACTGTTATTTCCTTTCTTTCACCATGAAACACTAACCAAGATCCTTTTAATTTCTGGATTTCTTTGACCATTTCCTCAAACGTTTTTATTATAAATATTAATAATTAAGCAAACTAGATCTTTTATCTTGTTTTCCTTATCTCCTTACCCTAATATGGCTCACATATTGGGATGTACCAAAGTCAATGCTGTCTGTAAAGATGATAAACTACCCTCATTCAAATCTAGGTGGATTAGAGCCTTTAGAGCAGCTTTTCTTTGGAATTTTCTGCCAAGTTGCATTACTATTTTTCCCAATGAACTACCACGTGGATGGTTAAAAACAAGAAATCTTTGAAATACATTATCTGTAAATCGCCAGGAGAAAAGATGGTACAATTTTTTTAAAATGCAATCTGCAGCTCAATTAATTGAATGGACATACTCTCTAACTTGTTAAAGCTCCAAGCATACACAATTTTAGAAACAAGACAATTCCAAATTGAATAGGTATTTTAACTTCATTTTCTAAATACACAATGACAGAAGACAAAACACTAAAATCTAAAGATAGTGATGCTGAAGCCAATAGCACTGTAATGCTGCCTATCCCAATGCCAGGTAGGTTTATACTTCCTGCCCATTCCCAAAACAGGTGAGGACAAGTGACCCGCTGAAGCTGCAGCGGAGCAGGACCTATGGCCTTGGGGATGAGTACTCTTATAGCTGGAACACTGTTCACAAGCAGAACTGAGGAATACTTTTCACATTTTTAGCAACTGAATGTCTTTA